GAGATCTTCTATGAGGACGTAGCCACAACTAGTTGGCAGGAGGAGGTTAGGATGAGGAGACGTACCTGAGCAGAGCCTATGCCTAAGGGCGACCGTGTGCGAGCAGAGGCGAGACTCCAGGCGAGGTTGCTATTGAAGGCCTCAGTGCGAGAGCTGGCCAGCGTGATGGAGCACGTTAGGAGAGTCGCACACACAGAGGTTGCACGGGCGAGTCACTACATGACGTGGTACAGAGGATAGGTGTCCTATAGCAGGAGAACAAAGGTTTGAGGGGTATGGTTCGTGACCTAGTCACTAGTGCAGAGCAGACGAGACAGTTCACCTCGAGACTCGAGCAAAGGGTTATCGATTTGGGGGAAAGTGAGAGTCGTCAAGCCCCAACAAATCTGGCCGACAAGAGGGGGACTGAGGGCCAGCAGATTTATGTCGGGAACCCTTCGACGAGGCGCACAAATCGAGGAACCATTTGGGGCTACAGGGATGACATGCGGGGAGGCAGCAGAAATCGACAAGCTCATGCTCGAGCCGGACGAGATTCAGAGGAGGAAGGGAGGCAGAGACCCACATGGTTTGGATTGGATGCCTCCCTCAGAGTTGGCAGTATAGGGAAATGCTTGACGAGAGTTGGGTGATAGACACGACGAGCGAGAGAGGGTTCCAGGGTCATGGGGTGTCATACCACAACAGGGCGTGAGGGGATCAGCCACTGCACCGCTTACACGCCAGCACCAGCTTTGGGGCCAATATACGATATAGTGAGCCTCCTTTCACCAGGATCTGAGAGATGTGACGAGGAACCCGACTCACGAGTTCACGGCCTCAGACCCTCCCCAGGCCCAAGATGGCGAGGGGAGGGGAGGGCAGCATCAGTGATATGTGCTCGTGGTATGACAAAGGAGTCCATGACAAAGTTGATTGCCTCGCCTTCCAAGAGGACCGTAGGAGGCGAGTCGTGCAGGTGATAGACATAAGCGAGTAAGAGATATGCATGGCGCTCTTCTTCCAAGAGATGTAACGATGTTAGGAAAGTGTATGATAGGCTAGGCCTGGAGCTGAGAGGATGAGTGATAATTGACATGTCCATAGGACGCACGAGGGTCCCAACTGTGAGATTACAAAGAGGACCGATGAGGGTCTGGCCGCAGTTATGGGAGGTTGTGATGACTTGGCAAAACACGGACTGAGACACAACTGATTTCAGAGTTTTGCCCATGGATTGAATGCCTTGCTGAGTTTCCCGCTTGCTACTAAGTCTGTGTGTATGCACGCTTCCTCGTTTGCATGTATGTCTGAGTACTTGATGGCTTGAGTGTGTGTGTGACCCGCAAGGGCACTTGTCCGTTTGTTGGGCCCTCTGGGCCGATACTTACCTGTGGCCATGACATTGAGGATTGCACCGGGGGAAGACACTCGAGTGGCGGGGGAAGAGGCCCACAACACTTGAAGCAGTGGGGAAACACTCAAGTAGCAGGTAGGCCGGTACACACCCTGAGGAGGTATATGTGCCGGGTACTCTAGGCCGAGCAGAAGAAGACAAAAGTGGCATTTTTAGAGACCTAGTAGTTGTAGGCTAGGTCTAGGTGGGTACCAGTCCAACCAGTCTAAGTCTAGGGCTTGTACGGGAAATATCAGAGTCTGCAATGATGTTTCCCTCCGAAAGGGAGGAGGTACCGGTTGCTTGGAAGGTCGAGCAGCCTGGAAGTCACCGCCCAAGAGGCAAGCAGGCCGCTATATCTCCAGGTAGGGTGAAAAGCCCAGCCTCATTGTCGATGTGCAAGTTTGGCAACACACTGGTTGGAGCGCTGGCTGGAGCAGCACTAGCACTCAGCAGCGCTGCTGGGGAAGGAGCAAGGACACGGAGGAGGAAGACGTGCAAGGCTAGGGAGGAGCGCGAGAGGTACTTACCTGGCTATGGTGGCAGCCATCGCCATCACCTTGGTGGGCGCTGCAGCAAGAAGGCAACTGAGGTAGAGCTACACCAAGAAGCTTCGAGACAGAGTAAGGCATGGTGGCCTGAGCTAGGGCAGCCATAGCTGCTTTTAGTTGTCCTTTGGGCATCTGGCCAAGGCCTGGTAGTCCGCCATAGCCTCGGCCTATGAGAGTGAAGAGTGAGGGAGGCGGTCATGGCTATGGACCTTAAGTGATACTTGCAGTAGAAGAGGGATTCAGACACAGATTCTGGTTCAACAAATCAACATTGTATTATTATTTCTTGAGTGAATAAGAGAGGAGGAGATACGGAGATGGAGAGTGATTGGCAAAGAAGAAAAGCATTCTCATTGTTCTATGCTGGTGTACATCTTCTTCTTGTTTCTTTCGACTTTTTCTTCTATCCCTCTCTCTCCTCTCAAGTTCATTCATTCCTTTTTCCAAGTGGACGACATTGTACTATCGAAATTGGCCAGGATCATAACAACGTAGACTTTTTTGGTTCGTTGATAGTCTTGGCATCTACACCGGGGGCTCCGAGTCATGGACACGTGTACTTTGCAGCTTGTACGTTCAGAGCTTTAAACTCCAGGTTAATAGATTCGAGTCAGTACATATTTTCTACCTGTACATATGATGACACGATGACTTGAGGGAGCAGCCTAGCCGACTTGTGTGATCCTTCTTTCATATTAGTTGGCAAAGAGGAGCCATGTACTATATGTGGTTGGTGACCGGGTTAGGCATGCGTTTCAGTAGACTATATGTACATGATAGTGTAATGACCCGCCACAACACAGACTGAGATCACTGTCGATTTCTGAAGTTCTATCGATGGAATGGATGCCTTGCTGAGACTCCCGCATTCTGCTGAGTTTTCTAAGTTTGTATGTGTGCGTGCTTAGTGACCTGCGTGCCTGTCTGAGTGCTTGTCGGCATGAGTGTGTGTGTGACCCGCAAGGGTACTTGCTTGTTGGGGAGGCCCGTAGGGCCGGTACTTACCTGTGGCCAAAAGTCAGACTCTTCTCCTTGTGGGCATCGTCCAAGCAAGTGTATTAATGATCTGTATGTGTGTGACTGAGAACAACCTGGAGAGTTAGCATTAACTAAGAAATAAGAGACGAAACTCATGTTTAAAAGAAAGGGAGAGGCGTGATCAGGACAAAGAAGAAGACAAAAAGATTGAACGCAATGGCTGAATGGGTGGTTGTTCACATAACATGCTTGCTGGCAATGCCTTATCTTTTGTTCACAACTCTGTCAATTTTTCTACTTTAGTAGGGCAGTCGATTAGTGCTCGCCTTGTGCTTGAGCGATAGGCAGGTAGTTATCTACTTTTCTGTTTTGCATTATTTCTTCGTGCATGATTGTTTTGGTAAGATCTTGGCTAGCTTCCGAGTTAGTAGAAATTATGGGAGCCTCCTTCCATAGGGGGAGGTGCTGCCTAGATTTCTGCCAAAAATCTCAGAGTCAGTCCAAATCTTGGGGTGCGTTTTTGGGTTAGAATCAGTTTAGTCTTTGGAGTCTGTTGAAATTGTGAAACCTTTCCTTGCTAAAGGAAGTGCTACCGAAAATTCTACTAAAACCAAAGAGTTAGTTTATTTTTAGATAGTGAATTTTGAGTTTTTTCTTTGACTTTGTCTAATAAAAATCCTTCGAGCACACTTCCTTAAAGGAAGTGCTGCCCAAATTCTTAATTTCATATTGCTAGCGGATGTCGCTGCTAAGTAGTTTAAAATGCGATACAAAGTTGACCTCTGTTAACTCTACAGGCGGTGCGTGCCTTGGTTTTTGTGACACAGGTTACCGTTACCTGTGAGTACTCTCAGAGGTTCTGAGCTTCGTTAACTTCTGCTATCGAATTGATAGCAGGTCGGTTTGCGACCCAACTCCTACCCACCATTATACCCACGTCCAGATATCTGTAACCCCGTAGGCGAAAGGCATTTCCCTGTAAACGAAAGTCCTACCCTTGGAATTTATCTTGAATGGTCATGCAAAAGTTGTGTGAATTGGAACGCGCGGGTATGCCTTTGTTGAGCAGGGATCGAAAAGGGGCGTGAGGGACATGAATCTGGGAACGAAGGGGTTGACCACATTTGTGACACTTGCCTGTGGATTTTCGTTTGGCTTCATGTGTGTATAGCTATGTATAGGAGCGAGGGCTTGCTCCTGGATTGAGAATGATATCGATGGATGAGTGCAGGGTGTGTGTGAGATCCAACTGTGGCTATGAGAATGACTCTCTCTGATTTCCTTCGAGACTCTCCCCTCCATTTTCATTTTTCTTTTTTCTTGTCGGTCTCATAAAGCGAAAAGGCAAGAGTAGTCGAGCACGAGGTTTGGCGATAGACTCCCAACCGAAATGAGAGTCGGTCCGAGTACAACGATTTACTCGCTAACCCGGGCCTACTTTTTTTTTTTTGTCTCTCTACGCGAAAAAGAAACGAGCGAACTACATACTTTTTGGATTACTGGTCGGACGTTGGAACTGAACTTGAAATTCGAGGTCCTTGTCCACGACATTTCAAGTCCCGATCCAGCACAAACGAGTTTCCCCAATGTGCGGGACTCTCACCCCTTGCTCACCGCGACCCACTTCCTATAAGCCAGGGGCGCCACACGAGTTGGACGACTTATCCTTCAACCGTTCTATATCGTGAGGGAGATCCCCTTCACGATATTTCGCTTTCGACACTCGAGTGTTGTGCGCAAACATGAAACCCACGAGAGGTTGCGCGGTTGTGGGTAACCCATGAAGCGTCACCATGAGAGCCGATTGAGTGAGTACACATGAATGAGTGTTATGGTCTCCCTCGCTCGTGCACTCCTTCTATGCAACTTTGCGTGGGCCTTGTCCAGACGCTCAAGCGTCTTTTGAGTTATGGGTCTAAATGTTTGTAGAATGGGTTAGGCACATATGTATGTTCGAGTTGGTAATATTATTTTGTTGCTTGGCAAGTGGTTAAGTTTGGATGTCCTGGTCGAGCGGCGCAAAACCGCGCGTGGGAGATCAGCACCCCACACAACGGTTCGCGTGCGGGTCTGATCTAGGCGTGGACTGCACATACCCCCTATGCTACAGCGTACGAGAAACGCCCTCCGATGGGCCACCTCCGCGACTGCACGTAAAAGCTTTCGTGGATGGCTCAGTAGCTCGACGAGGATACGCCCACCCAAGGGATGGTGACAGCTCCCGCGGGTGGAGGTAAGTTGTACATCGCGAGACCCTATCATGTCGAAGAGCTCGATGGAGGTATAGCTGGCGCACTTGGCCGCAGCGGCTCCGCTGCTTCCCTTTACGTGTTGCGACTCGCGAATCTGCCAATCCGGCGTGACGAGGCCGGGAAGGTCCCCCCCTCTGTGGCGACCATCCGCTCGACAACATACACTTTCAAAGATGCCCTTGCAAGCCCTATGAAAATTTTGTTGATGGATGTTAAAACAGGAATGAGCGTAGGAATTCTTCCGTTTTAGATTTCGCACGAGGAATTTTCTTTCGGACTTTTCCATTTCAATTCGACTTCAAGAATTATGAGCGGCTTCACTAACATTTCGTGTAACTGTCTTGGTTCCCTTCTTATTCTACAGACATGCATCGTTCTGTGTCGCGCTTCCGCAAGCAATCTTTCCCCCGCTTCCCCAACATCCTTCTTCGCACCATTAACGACCAATTGTAATTATCTTCTTCACCTTTCTTCACGCTCTCTTCTTCACGCTCTCTCTATTCTTACTTCACTTGAATCTTGGTCTTGCTCCACTCTATTATTCATAACCTCCTTTCCCATCTTCGTTTACACGCAGGAAAGCCCCACCCGATCCCCCAAATATTCGAAGTCGAACGACAACGTGTAAGGAGGATTTGAACTCCCCACGCTACGATTCGATTGGCTACGAAGTACCTTCAAAAGCATTTTGTGTAACTGTCTTCGTTCTTTTTTTATTATGCACGCATGCATCTTTCTGCGCCGCGCTTCTGCAAGCAATCTTTCCCCCGCTTCCCCAACAACCTTCTTCGCGGCATTAACGACCAGTTGTAACTGTCTTTTTCTACTTTCTTCGCGCTCTCTCTCTCTTCCCACTTCAGTTGAATCTTGGTCTTGCTCCACTTTGTCGTTCATAACCTCCTTTCGCATCTTCGTTTACACGCAGGAAAGCCCCCGCCGATCCCCCAAATACTCATAGAAGTTGAACGGCAACGTGTATGGATGTTCTGAACTCCTCACACTACGATTCGATTGGCTACGAAGTACTCCACGCGGACCGACATGGCCCTTCCAAATGTTTCCTTTCCCCTCTCCTCTCTCCTTCATCCCCCCTCTTTGTAGTCTCTTTCCCTCCTCTTCGCAACTATAAACCTTGCAAGCGTGTTGCTTTTCTCTCTCGCAATATATTGGCCAACTCTGGTCGAGTAGTGGCTACACGAGGTGGGATTTCTCGCTTGACCGCTGCGACGAACTGCAGGGATCTGAGTGAATCCGCGTACTAGTTGACTGGACGAGATGACGATCGTTGGCTCTTAGTGTTGGGTACGTGGCGGCTGGGACCGACAGTACTCGAGCCAAGAAAGGTGTGTTGGTGATTGATAAAGTGGCCTGGGGCCATACTGGAAGAGCAAAAGGTGTTGCACCATGTCTCCTTGTTTTTATTCCTCTTGCTGTTGTTGGAGTTGAGTTGCCTGGCGGGATGCCAATTTTTCCTTCCATAACTGTGCATATGTATACTTCTCTCCTTATCTCCTCTTTCTCCATGGAGGTATGGATGTATGAAGTGGATGAATGCTTGCCTAAGTTGCTTTGTACTGATAATACATGTTCGAGAGAAGGTTTTAAATTGTGCCCCTCGTCCACCTATTTCGTTGCCAAGATCCCATTGGGCGATGATCATTACTGAAAGATGGGGAAGAACTGATATGACAAATTTTGCACAGAGATGGCTGTTCTCCACAAAGATGGCTGTTTTCCACAAACCACAAGGATATAGGTACTTCATATCTAATCTTTGGTGCAATTGCTGGAGTAATGGGCACATGCTTCTCTTTACTAATTCGCATGGAATTAGCACAACCAGGAAATCAAATTCTTGGTGGAAATCATCAACTTTATAATGTGTTAATAACAGCTAAATAAAATAAAATAAAGGTACCGATAGCTGGTCCGTAGGTAAATGTTCTCAAGGGCTCAAGGAGGAGTCCACTATAATATAATGCCAAAAATCTAAGATCAATTTATGACATGTTGCTTATAGAGTTCAGATGGTTGCACTTCGTGCCGAAAGAGAACCCAAAGGCAAACATGAAAAGAACTGCGGGAAAATCAATCTTCGCTTCGGGATTGGTTTCGGAGATCCCATAATAGTCTCCTGTGGACCCTCGGTCAACCACAATGAAGGGGAGCAAAGTATCTGGGTTCCAAATTCTCGTTTGCAGATGCGACCATGAAATCGAACGTTTGGAGGCCATCAAGGCCGACTCTCAAATTCGCTTTATGATAGACAAACAAGGCCAGCAATGGTTACTTGATGAAATGTGTCTTCTTTCCTTCTTTCTGCTTGGGATTGCAGTGATATATCGATGATGGATGTATGTGGTCTTCCTTTATTTTCTCCTTGTTATTGCGAACGAGCAACCCTCCACACTAATGGGTTCCGAATGTAGCATTAGCACAAGCGGAGTCTGCTAGAAGAGCAGAAAGGACGGAGCCCTCGACATTTGGTGGAGTCAGGTGCTGATGCACATTAGGAACAGAAACGAATGTCAAGTAGGTGATCGCTGCAGCAGCACGATGGTTAGAAGGGTTAGTACAGCAAAATGGGTAAGACCGGGGCCTTGGTTATTGGGCTGAGGTCAATTGTCTTAGGCTACGGGTCCTCGGGATGCTGTATGGGACCCTTGATCTCATGATTACTCCGTAAAGAAAGAATAGAGAATGGGGTAGTCCTCGGGACCATCAAAATTGTGTACGAATACCGTTTCCTATATAGGCCGGTCTTAGGCGTGAAGGATAAGCTTAAGAACGCAAGTCAGAGTCCAGTCAAAGGGAGGAAGAAGAACCTATCCCAGGATCAAAACCCTAAAGGGGAAGTCCTACTCTGTACAGTTTCTGATAGAAATCAGGAAGGGGTAGAGGGAGTTTATGATCCTTGGGGGATAGACAAAGTGGTCGGCGATCATAAGACTTCTGAGGGAGAAGTGCTGGCCGTCTTAAGAGAAGGTTAAGGCGACTAATTTGCAGTAGGTTAGTAAGTCTGGGAGCCAACAGGAAACTCTACTTTACCAATAGGAATAAGTAGTCTTGCAATGGGTGTGTGGGAAACTGCCCGGTGAGGAATGTTTGCTAAGGGTGTGGCTTGTACGGTCGTACCGAGAGGCAAGGTTCAAACGAGTAGGTTACCGTGAGGGTGCGGCCTCATAGGGGGTATGAGGCACTCTCAACCTGGGAAAGCACTGCGAGCAGTTCCCAGGGTAAACACATCTGGCGGGAAGAAGTTGTAACCGCTTCTGCGCAGTGTGAGATGGTCGAAGATCCCTCACCATCTCAGAGGTAGCCCGAGTCCTTAGTCACCCTGCTAGCACATCTAGATCAAATGATGCTCTGTTCATGTGACGTTTCTTAGAGGAGCTAGCCGAAACGGTCTATGGAAAACCTGTTAGCTGCCTGGATGACCATAGTTGAGGTCTTGAGGGTTGGTAGATGTCATAGTTAAACTCCTTAACCTGATAGGGCTCTCGCAGACGATGACTCTACCTAGGACTACATTAGTCTTTTTTGGGGGGGAATGTTGCGCTCTAGAATCTAGTGCAGCGGCCAAGGAGAACTGTGGAGTTTGTCGTAGGCCACACCAAAAAGATGTGTGTAATGGCAATATGAAAATTGTAGCAAGTTCCTCCAGCTAAGGGGGAAGGCAACTGTGGACACTAATCTCGTTTGCCGCATAGCGACAAGCTGGTTGTAACATTTCGCTTTGAGGTACCACTTTGAGGTTGAAGTGTTCCTATAGTGACAAACAAAACCAAAGGTGGGATATCTGCCTAATTTCGAAGTCTTGGAAGGGAAGGCCTATCAAGCTTCTTCAAAGAGAGAAAATGTTGCCCCTTAATGTTCGTATCTCCTTGGAACCGGCCAGGAATCATAAACAGGGAGATTGTCCAACAGATAGTTAACACTCCTTCCCATGAAGGAAAGAACTATAGGATGACTCTTATGTTATGAGATGACGATTGGCGAATCAAACGAAAGAGAGATGGATAGGGCCATATATATGAAAATCTAACTAAAAGAGATGGGGATGCGGAGACTGAGGATCTCCAAATAAATAACATAAAACTCGATTTCATAATTTACTAATTGAAAAATTACAATAAACACTTTTGGGTAGTTTATTTTAATAATAAACATACAAAACCTTCATTCTCCGTCTGATTATGTTTCTCAAATGTATGTGAAACCAGCGGGATCTCCAAATAAATAACATAAAACTCGATTTCATAATTTACTAATTAAAAAATTACAATAAACACTTTTGGGTAGTTTATTTTAATAATAAACATACAAAACCTTCATTCTCCGTCTGATTATGTTTCTCAAATGTATGTGAAACCAGCGGGACAAAGAAGTGTAAGGTATTTTACGGAAAGGACTGATCTTTGCAGTAAGCTAGGTAATCGCTCTTTCTGAGACCTCAAGGGCTAACTAACGTACGGGCAGACCTACATGGGTTACCAGAGTGCCTAGCTGCTCAGACACACTTGAGATGTCTACTTTATAACCAAACTCCAAAAAGCAAGTGGCCGAGACAGAAGGACAGCTAACTGCGAAATACCTTCCGGAATCGATCTTGAAGCACGGTAAAAGGACTTTCTACGTCGTGGCAGTTGCTGCAAGCGTACATTAATAGTAAACTCCTTCCTATCTGAAACCTGATTATCAACAACTCTGTATGCCAGTTCAGAAGTTTATTTATAAACAGCTGCTGGAGGCTGTGGATTTGCATCAGGATGACTATACATTAGATAAATAAGGAGAAAGAGCCTTGAATTAGGCCACGAGCAGTTGCATAAAGACTTGACATCTAGAAGGTTGCTATACTAATTAATAGAGTAATTAATAGTCTGACCTGGTACCCGATCTGGTTTCTGGTCTGGTTCCTGATTTCTTTTCGGGTTTGATTCGGATGATCACCCCTACACTACCCGCATTCGTGTAAAGCCTCTTCGATCTGTAGGATACCAGCCGGCACGCATGGAGAATGAGAACTGATTATATCATTCATTACGAATGCGTGCTGCCCCCAACCATGGACAGAGACATCTTTTACGATCC